CCCCCCCCCAGGTCTTCTTTGTTCTACTTTCATAATCCCATGCTTGGTGTCAGGAAGTTCAGTTGAATGTGACTACTACTAGCTATACCAAGACCTGGATGAATGAGAACCTTCACAGACAACAATGTGCCATAGCTAGTAGTAGTCACAGTCAGCTGGACTTATGGACTTACTTTATCATTTCCAAGCCACTTTACAGGTCTAATGAATGTCAGAACATCCCCCGGGATTTATATCTGCACAGATGTATAATCTATATATCATAAAGCTATAGTCTAACCTGGTTACATTTAGACCTCCGTCTCTTTCCTTCCCCCTCTTACATTCATTGCTTACTATTGTTCTTCTTTTGTCTCAGGATTTTCCCTCTTCCTGGCAATGGTGACATTGACTTTCCCCCCATCCCTGGCCTCCTGAGATACACGTCTCACATCCCAGAAGGCTGCAGGGCCATATATGCCGAACTCTGGCCAGATCACCCGACACTTTGGCAATAATGTGAAAATGATGGCGCCAGATCTCCAGCTTGCAGAGGCGGAGACCTGGCGCCCTGCCACCCACATTACAAGCTCCCAGAGTGTTGGGAAATCTTGCAAGAACGTGGACCTATCGTCCCCTGTAGCCTTCTGGGATGCAGAACGTGTTTTTCCAGGAGGTTGTCTGTACATGAGCACAATCTGGTGCTGCTTCATCAGGGAGTCGGGTACAAGAAACGGTCAGCTCCAGGTGATGAAGCAAACAAAGATGGCGGCACATGCTGCTGAGGAGCAGCTGGGGAGAACAGGACAACGCAGGATTTTCTGGGCTGGTCAGTATGTTTATCCCGGAGGTAATATGGGAAATAATTTACAAGGCCATGGGGGAAGGTCCTTTAAATGCAGCTCCATGCAATGTGTATGAGGGCAAAGAGACGGCACGTGTACTCACCATCATGTCTTTCTCCACCTCCCTGGAATCGGATTTGCCTTCAGGACAGAGTAGCGGAATCCTGTTCAGAATGATCTTTTCTCTTCTGAAAATGCCAAATCTAGCCCTCAGGGTTCGGTCGTCAATGACACGGGGCGCTGGTGATTTGGTGATCTTAGTCATCTCCGCTTCCTTGCCTTTGGCCTGCAAATTGATAACATTAAGAACATTTAGGTGATAGGTGTAGAGAGGCCGGAAATTAACCCCTTAGTGACGGGAGATGTACACTGTACATGAGCAGCTATTTAGGGCTCCAGAATGCCGGTAAGCGCCGAGATCAGCGGTCACCATTTCATTAACCTCCCTGGCGATCTGATTATTTTTTTTTCTCTTTTTTGTTCTTTCTTTTTTAACTTTTAAAATTCCCGCCGGTTCCGCCCCTCCTGCGACGCGGACGCTCGCAAGGGACGGAACCCGGAGGACGGATGCCGGCATCGGCCGGAGGACACAGCGGGGATCGTGGACAAGGTAAAAGACGCTACGCTGTAATCCCGGGATTACTGCTTATGGTACTGAAAATTAACCCCCGAGCCACACCGGGGAATACCGCCAAGGAGGTTAATGGATTGTTGTAAGCCTTCCCAATGTGCTCCCTGCCAAACAGGCTGGTTATAGATTCATGCAGGTACCATTTTTTCTAGTTTGACTATTTTTGGTTGTGGGGACGCACTGGGGTCCCGGCTTGCATTCTAGATTGCTGGGCCCCCAGTGCGTCCCAGCACCTTATTAGGAGGAGTTGGCTACCACCAGGTACACCTGCATGCAATTTATCGACTTCATTAACCCCTTCGTGACGGGAGACGTACAGTGTACGTCTTGTCACTTTGTGCCTATAAAGGTTAATGGATGCCTCACTAACGAGCATTCCATTAATGAATGAATTAAACTTTCAGCGATCGAATGTCTGGCAAATCCTGATGTGTATCGGCATTTTGCTGAATGTTTCCGCAAAGAAACATTCAGCAGGAGCCGAAAGCTGCCCGTTTCAGGCCTCAGATCGTTGTGGCAACCAGCCACTTAACCCTCTTTATCAGAATATCTTGTGTCTGTAATGCTTTCCCTTCAAAACACACACGTAGGGCCTATTCACACTGCTCCGTCCCTGTGTGTTGGGTTAACCCACGTGGTGTCCTGCGTTACTATGTCTGTGTGAATGAATATTAAGAATAGACAGAAGAAAAAAAATGGGCCTATCCCACCTCAACATAACCACTGAACTATCACTTTCTCAACAATTCATCCCCTCTTTTAGATGTACTAAGCATTTTAAAAATGATGTTCAAGTTAATTATGAAATATTAATGATATTATAGTGACATCACAATCCGGCTCGGTATATCTACAGGGCCCACAAGGGAGTTGTACAGGGAATGCGCATATGGATGGAGCTCTGTCACAGTACAGGAGCCCGCACTGGGCCCCAGGCTGAGCATCACCTCCAGTTCTCGTAATGTAGGGAGACTGGGTGGACCTGAAAAAAATAAATATTTTTGGGGAGTGTGTATGTGTGTGTGAGAATGCATCTGTGGTTGTGTGTGTCTGTCAGTGTTTTTGAGGACCTGTTCCTACTAGTACAGTGCATTATTCGCACAGTCCCATGCAACCGCACCTACCGTGTGTTCTGGTGCGGAAGGTGCTTTGCCATTCATTTGAATGGCACCTCTGGCCCACAGTTCGATAACCCGCAATGGAACGCACAGTATCACAATGTCCTGCATTTCAGTGCGGTTGCAACTTAAAGGAGAACTATGAGGGGGGGGGGTGCTTTTCACTCACCTCATAGTTCTAGCCGACCTGTGACAATGAGACTGTCACAGGTCGGCTCAGTAGATCGGGAGGTGAGCGAACACATACCGGCATTCGCTCACCTCTCGATCCTGTCACGGCTCTCTGCCGTGACAGGGGAGGGGCTAGATTCCCCTCTCCCCGCTCCGATCCGCCAGCGCTGACAGTCACGCAGCTGGGCGGATCCCGGCACAATTGTAGCTCCCTATATACTGAGCCTAGGGTGACGGAAGGACGCTAGTTTGTGTCCTCCCGTTACCCTAAGGAGAACTATGGGGAAAAGATTAAACCCCATAGTTCTCCTTTAATGATTAAGGTCCTGAGATTACATATGTTGAGAAACACTGTTCTAGACCCTTCAATTCTAGCCTTAGCACATAGACTGGACACACGCAGAGTGTGCCTTGTATGCTCTTAGGGTTCATCTGCATACGTCTGTATAAAACGGCTCAACTTCTAAGACTAAATAACTTTAGTCATTACACCATATTAATAATGTCTATGCTAATTAATATCAACAACTTGAAGTTTAAGAGTGAATATCAAAATTCCACTACAAAATCTCTACGAATGAAACTCGATTGATTTATAATTTGGATACCCTAATCGCCCAAAACATTCTGATCAACTCCTTTTCCCCATTTTGATCATAATAATTAGGGATGCACCGATACAGATACTAGTATTGGTGCTGATCCAGAGTATTTGGATGAGTACTCGTACTCGCCCGAGTGCTCCGATACTTACCTCCGATATCGGAACTTCCAATCAGAGGGAGATCTTCCTCTGGCCGGCAGTGCCGAGGGAGCATGGAGCCGGCTTCCATTCCAATCAGGAAGCCAGGCGGTGGGTTATGACCCGCCTCCCTGATTGGCTAGGAAGCCGGCTTCACGTGTTGCTAAGCAGCCTGGCTTCCTAACCAATCAGGAAGCCGGGCGGCACGTGATGACCAACCTCCCTGATGTTTCTAGGCAGCGTGGCTTCCTGACCAAAGTTAAGCCAGCTTCCTAGCCAATAAGGAAGCCGGGAGGCGGGGTCATGACGTGCCGCCCGGCTTCCTTATTGGCTAGGAAGCCAGCTTCACTTGATTGCTAGGCAGCCAGGCTTCCTGACCAATCAGGAAGCCGGGCGGCACCTCATGACTCGTCGCCCCGGACTCCTGATTAGTCAGGAAGCCAGACAGCCTCTAAAGCCGGGGTTCTTTCGCTAGAACACCGGCTTCACAGGTAATGAGGAAGCTGGATGATGGGTCAAGATCCACCACCCGGCTTCCTGATAATCGGGGCACAATGCACCGGTACTCGGTATCGGCGAGTACCGGAAAAAAATAAAATAACGGTACTCGTACACGATACCGAAAAAAACCCGGTATCGGTTCATCCCTAATAATAATAGAAATCTATAGAAGATTGCTATACCGTTCCGTTTCTTTTAAAAAATTATAAGTAAAAAACAAAAAATTATCATTTGTACCTGGTTATCCGTGTTGGGTGAACCCAGTGATGCGGAAGGGGTGTACACCTTGGCAGAACTGGTTGTAGTTGGTTGATAGTGTGAGGCGCCTTTAGGTTTCTGGATGGCGTCTTCCTCGTCGTCTTCATCATCAATATAAATCACTTCAGGTATTTTTTTACTGACTTGGGGGCGTGTGCAAGTTTTGGGTTTTGCAGGAACGCCTGCATCGGGAAGAACGAGCGGGGAACTGGCAGAGTCCAATGTTGGTTTGGAGTTTAGAGGCGGCAAATTATTTTTCGACAGAACGACCTCAACCACTTTGTTGGCCAGATCCTTCCCTTGCTCTATCTGTAATGCGGTTTTATCGGGAGTCTCCTGCTTGATGTGGATTGTGCTTCTAAGTTCAGCTCCTTGTTTAGTCAAAAAGTAAATCTTATTATCGCACATGACAAGAGTATTGTCTTTGAACTTCGCTACATTGGAACTAGTCGAATTCAGGTCCTCGGTCTTTGCTCCCGACATCAGAGCGAGTATCTTATTTGCCATCTCGCTATTCGACTTTACCGGAACGACGCAAGCTTTGGACTCCGTGTTTTCCTGCACCACCCACTTCAATGGTCCTTTAGGAGTTGCCGTCGTACTTGACTGCACCGCTGGAACGAGCATGGGAGCGAACGCAGAAGGCTGCGTGACGGAGTTTTTGGGTTTATAAGAGGCCGGGGGTGTCTGCAAAGTATTCACAGGGGATACATATACAACAGAAGGGATCTTGGTGGCGTCATTACTTGTGTTCGGGGGTAGCATCCTTTGCTGAAGAGAGAAAGGCAAGGAAGAAGCAGGAACAGATTTCACTTCTGCATGAGCAGGTATCTGCAGGCTATGACCGGTTGGAAAAATTGGGATTGTTTTCATAGGACCCGATCCAGGGCCAGCGTTCATGATTAGGAAAGAAGGGGTTCCCATCTGAGGGTTTGATGGCAAATTCGACGGTGGCCTTTTCAGGATAACGGGAGAAAGCTTGTTGTCGACACGTATGGTCTTGGAAGCATCGGCGGGACTTTTCTGGGTTGTGATGATGTAATTCGCTGAACCGAGTTGCTGTACCAGTTGTGCGTTCATTGGCAAAGCGACATTGGAGACCGCCGAAGGCAGAGACAACCTGACAGGCTGGTGAACGTTCAGCAACGGCGCATTCGTTATCACGGGAGAAGAAACCGCTGGAACCGGGTTTTCCTTTGCCCTCGTGACCGGAATGAGCTGCAGGAAATTTTTTCCATCTGCCCCAGTGCTTTGAAGGACTTGATACAAGCTCCCTGTAAGGCTGAAGTAAAACCAACCATTTACTAAATGAACAGTTACAATATTTGTTACAATTTTTACAATTGATTGCGCAATGTAAGCCAAACTCAAGGCAAACAACTGAATGTACAGATAAAATATTGTCAATATACAGTCAAAGGTAGAGCTGCAGCTAACGATTATTTTCAAAATCGATTAGTTAGCCGATTATTAAGTTCGATTAATCAGTTAATCGGATAAAAACTAAAATAAAATTTAAAAAATGGCTCCCGTGATGGGACTACTAGTTTGTATTGAGATTGCAGTCCATCACAGGAGCAAGCTTGGAGCGGTGGAAGTAAAACAGAAAAAAAAAAAAAAGGCGTGGGTACCAATATAGTGAAATGAAAAGTGAAAACAATTATACAGCAATGAATGCAGAATGGCACCGGCTAAAGAGGACTCCAAAACCCAGCAATACATTATACAGCACAATGCAGAATACCACCAGCTATATAGGAGTACAACAAATCCCAGCAACAGTACCTTATAGCTGGTGGTAGTCTGCATTGCGCTGTATAATGTACTATTGCTGGGTTTTGTAGTCCTCTATAGCTAGTGGTATTCGGCATTGCACCACTGTATAATGTACTATTGCTGGGATTTGTTGTACTCCTCTATAGCTGGTGGTATTCTGCATTGTGCTGTATAATGTATTATTCCCTGATTTGTAGTCCTCTATACAGCGCAATGCAGAATATCACCAGCTATATAGGAGTACAACAAATCCCAGCAATACATTATACATACAGTGTACAATGTATTGCTGGGATTGGTATTCCTCTATAGGTGATGGTACATTGCTCTGTATAATATACAGCACAATGTACCATCAGCTATAGAGGAATACCAATCCCAGCAATACATTATAGAGCATCATGTGGGGGGGAGTGCAGGGTTACCTGAGCAGTCTTCCAGCAACTTGTTTCCAAGATCGGACCTGTCTATCGTCGGCTGTCATCCGCCCCACACCTGCTCCTCCTTACTTCTGGTGAGGTGGGGAGGAGGTGCGGAGCGTGGATGCGGGCGGGTCTGGCAGCGGCGAGCGTGAGGTGGGGAGGAGGTGTGGCGTGCAGCGTGTGTGGAGCCGTGAAGAGGGCCAACCAATCAGAAGCCGATTAATCGATGATTGAAAAAGTTGACAACTTTTTCAATAATCGATTATAATCGATTATGTCGATTAGTTGTTGCAGCCCTAGTCAAAGGATTTGTATTTCTGTTCATTCAGCCCCGGGATATACACAGCTCTGGCACACATCACAGCTCTGTCTGGCAGGGCAGGAGACTTGATTTTTCTCTACTGTTATTAAAGGAGAACTATGGGGTCAGGGCTTTTCCCCATAGTTCTCCTTAGGGTAACGGGAGGACACAAACTAGCGTCCTTCCGTCACCCTAAGCTCAGTATACAGCGAGCTACAACTAGCGGTATACTGAGACACCGCAGCTGAAGCGGATCCCGACAATTATGTCTGGATCCGCCCAGCTGCGTGAGTGACAGCTGGCTCTGCCTATCTAGAGGCAGAACCAGCTGTACCTGCCCCTCCCCCGTCCGTTCCGCCAGTCAGCGCTGGAGGATCGGAGCAAAAAGACCCCCCCCCCCCCCCCTCATAGTTCTCCTTTAAGGTACACTTACAGGTCTTGTCTCCTCCCCAGCCTGTGTGTTGGCAGTGAAAGAAGAAGCAGCAGCAGACTGATGAGCTCATCTCTCTGTTTTCTCCTCCTATCGGCTTGTTTCTTATTACAAAGAGAACACTCCACCACAATAGTCTGGCTTCTTGTGCTGCTTCTCCCATCCCCAGTTCTGCTGTACAGGGGATTGCAATACACCGATACCAAGTCAAAGTAAGGTACTTGCGTATTATGGAGAGCTACATTCAATTTTGTCTTTTTGTTGTGCTTGGAGCTCACCTTTGATATACAGTCATGGCCAAAAATATTGGCACCCCCGGCACTTCTGTCAGATAATGCAACACATAATATGAAATCACCCGCACTCCATACAGACCTTGTTGAAAAGTTGGTGCTCGAAGTGACAACACGGACGGCGCCGTGTCAGATACAGTCCATAATAGAAGTCACCGGCACTCGATGATATGTGCAAGAAGTAAACCACTTTTTATTAAATCGTCACATGCGTCATACAGCCAACATTTCGGGGACATGCAGGGTCTTCTTCTGGGCGACATAGTGACGCCGTTGGCTGTATGACGCATGTGACAATTTAATACAATGTGCTTTACATCTTTCACACATCATCGAGTGCTGGTGACTTCTATTATAGATAATGCACCACTTTGCGCAGAAAATTGTTCCAATGACAAATGTTTCGGCATTCTCATGTTTATTTTGTTTGTATTGGTATGACACAAAATTAGGGATGCACCGATACCGATACTAGTATCGGTGCCGATACCGAGTATGTAGGCGAGAGTACTCGTACTCGCCCAAGTGCTCCGATACCTGGCACGAGTACTTCCTGTATCAGGAAGCCGGGCTGCGCATCATTACACGCTGCCCGGTTTCCTGATTGGCCAGGAAACGGCTCCATGCTCTCTTGTCACTTGTGATGAGAGAGCATGGAGCCGACTTCCCGGCCAATCAGAAAGCCGGGTAGCGAGCAATGAGGCGCTGCCCGGCTTCCCGATTGGTCAGGAAGCAAGCAAATCCGGAAGCCGGTCGCTGTGTAATGACGCAGCGCCCGGCATTCTGATTGACCGGGAAGCCAGCGTCATGCTCCCTCGTCATCTCATGACTCATAATATTAAGAAAGTGACCTTAAAGCATTAGTTTGTATTGTTTTAGAAAAAATGTGACCTGTCCCTTTAAGAAAAAGTATCGGTAATTGGTATCTGCGAGTACTTGATCAAAAGTATCGGTACTCGTACTCGGTCTTAAAAAAGTGGTATCGGTGCATCCCTACACAAAATTAACAGCTTTTTGATTGAACAAAATGACAGCTTTTTGGTGCAGCCCATCATTCTACTGTTTTCAGAAAAAGAAATGAGGCCTTTAAAGAAAAAAATGTCCCTACAGTTACACATGGTGGAAGGGTCACTGATGTTTGGGGGTTGGTTTGCTGCTTCAGGCGCTGGATGTCTTGGCTGAGTGCACGGAATTATGAAATCTGAAGATTACCAAAGAATTCTGGTGTGCAATGTAGGGCCCGGTGTCAGAAAGTTGGGTCTCCGTCAGGGGTCACGGGTCTTACAGCGGGACAATGACGCAAAGCCCATAGAAATGGTATCAGACAAAGCGCTGGAGAGGACTGGACGGCAATGAGTCCAGATCTGTAGCCCATAGAGCTCCTGTGGAGGGAAAAGGAATCCTTCCTATCTGAGAGACGAAAGAAGAGCGCTCCCAAATACCTGTAGAGAGGCGTAAGAGACTCATTGATGATTACAGAAAGCCATGGATCCAAGGGCGGTACTACCAAATATTAATGGAGGGTGCCAATAATTTTGTCCAGACCATTTTTGGAGTGTGGAATGTGTCAGATTTGGGTTTTTTCTAGGGATGCACAGATACTTTTCGAGTACCAGTGCAGATACTTGGCATTTTCAGGAGAACTCCCAGGGTTGCAGCGGTTGCAGCTGGGACCTGGCTCTGGCGCTCCACCACTGTCCTGAAATCATTAGCCTGTATTGTTTTAGAAAAACTGTCACATGGCAATAAACAAAAATGTATCAGTACTCGTACTTGTAAGTACTCGGCAAGTACCAGTACTCGTACTCGTAAAACTGGTATCTGTGCATCACTTTATTTATATTTATAAAAACCAAACCGTACATTAAAACAGAGATGTACAAATCCCGGGAGCTCCGTGTGCTCCTTACACATGACAGCCACCTCCTAACTTTTGACTTTTTGTGTAGTGTAGTCTTGGAGCTCAAAAGTATCGGTACTTGTACTCGTACTTGTACCGAGTACGGTACTTGGTATCTGTGCAACCCTAGTTTTTTCCCACAACTTTTTTTGTGTCATACCAATACAAACGAAAGAAATAAACATGAGAATGCTGAAAATATGTCATTGCAACAATTTTCTGAAGCAAAGTGGTACATTATCTGACAGGAATGCAGGGGTGCCAATATTTTTGGCCACGACTGTATACATAGCTTGACTGGTTTCATTACGTAGCTTCCCTAAACTATTAACAGAAAGTTTTCCACTTCTGAAGTAAAATGGATATTAGACACCGGTTGACCTATATACACTCAGAACACACAATGTAACATTCAACAAGATACTCTGAGGGGAATTTATCAAACCTGGAGCAGACCAAATCTGGAGCAATTGTCCATGGCAACCAATCAGCACCTACCTTTCATTTTCAAAGCTTAACTGAACAAACTGAAGAGAGAAGCTGATTGGTTGCCATGGGCAGCTGCTCCAGATTTGGTCTGCTCCAGTTTTGATAAATTCCCCTCACTGTATCTTCAAAGACTAAAAAGGTGCCCATACACTGCACGATTCTCGTACGAGAATCGCAGGATATCCTGCACTCATACGATAATCGCAATGTGTATGGAAGGCGTGCGACCGTTCCTACTGTACGGTCGCACGTCTTCCGTCGAACAAGCAGGCTGGAAAACCCGCCGGGAATCGTACGATTCTCGGCGCGTAGCCGGCCCCTAGTGCAGGGATGGGGAGGGAGAGCAGGAGGGACAAGCCTTTTCAATTTCCTCCTCTGCTCCTCCCAGACGGTTAAAATCATATGTTAAAGTGACATTAAACCCTCAGATTTTTTTACATAAAGCAATACTGTAATGTGCGTCTTACTGTAATCCATGGTAGTTTCCCTTCTCTTTGCTGCTCTTCCTTTTAAATCCTCATGTCTTCTCATGCTGGGGGAGAACTTCTGTTTTGCAGCAGACAGCCTTATCTCAGGAATGGATACACGGTGTCTGTGTATAGGTTTGTATAGGCTTGAAACCTGAGCCAGCACTACAGGAAGAGGCCCTGAGCTGAAAAGGGAAGTTCTCCCCTGGCATGAGAAGACATGAGGATTTAAAAGGAAGAGCAGCAAAGAGAAGGGAAACAACCATGGATTACAGTAAGGCTGGGTTCACACCTAGGCGTATTGAATATGCGCGTTTATCGTGCGGTTCGCGGCGCGCATTTTTACCGCGGTTCGCGGTAAAAAAAAAACGCGCGACAAACGCGCGTTTCCGTGGGCTACTTGGCTGTATCCCAATGGAAACGCGAGACCAAAACGCCCCAAAGAAGTACATGTACTTCTTTGGGGCGTAGGCCGGTTTGTATCGTGTTTGGACGGGCGGAAATACGGCAAGGTGTGAACCAGACCCATTGAATACAATGGGATTTAGATGTTTTAGCGTTTTGTAGAGCGTTCGTCGAGCGTTGAACGCGATACAAAACGTTCAGGTGTGAACCAGGCCTAAGGCGCACATTACAGTATTGGTTTATGTTAAAAAATCTGAGGGTTTAATGTCACTTTAAGATAATAGTGGAGTATTATATTTAACCAATTCAAGACCAATGAGCCAGCACTACAGGAAGAGGCCCTGAGCTGAAAAGGGAAGTTCTCCCCTGGCATGAGAAGACATGAGGATTTAAAAGGAAGAGCAGCAAAGAGAAGGGAAACAACCATGGATTACAGTAAGGCTGGGTTCACACCTAGGCGTATTGAATATGCGCGTTTATCGTGCGGTTCGCGGCGCGCATTTTTACCGCGGTTCGCGGTAAAAAAAAAACGCGCGACAAACGCGCGTTTCCGTGGGCTACTTGGCTGTATCCCAATGGAAACGCGAGACCAAAACGCCCCAAAGAAGTACATGTACTTCTTTGGGGCGTAGGCCGGTTTGTATCGTGTTTGGACGGGCGGAAATACGGCAAGGTGTGAACCAGACCCATTGAATACAATGGGATTTAGATGTTTTAGCGTTTTGTAGAGCGTTCGTCGAGCGTTGAACGCGATACAAAACGTTCAGGTGTGAACCAGGCCTAAGGCGCACATTACAGTATTGGTTTATGTTAAAAAATCTGAGGGTTTAATGTCACTTTAAGATAATAGTGGAGTATTATATTTAACCAATTCAAGACCAGGTGTTTAGACCCCCTTCCTGGCCAGGCCATTTTTCAGTATTCAGCGCTGCGATACTTTGACTGACGTTTATTCCGTCATGCAACGCTGTACTGAAATTAATTTTATACCATTTTTTGGGGACAGATAGAGCTTTATTTTGGTGGTATTTAATCACCACTACGAGTTGTATTTTTTATTATAATTAGGAAAAATTACTGAACTTATTGCTCTCACTCCGACGTTCGCGGCGATATGTAACATGTGCGGCGTAATGGGCGCAATCGTCTTTTTTGCACGTATGCGCCCCCGACGCATGTTTGCATGCGTATATGAAAAAAAAATTATTTTCTTTAATTCTTTTTTATGTGTAACTAAAAAAAATTTTTGGGGGGACTTTACATTTTTTTTTTCACTAAACTTTATCGCTATCACATACGGGGGCTAATAAAACCCCCCTATGTGATAGCAAAATATGTGACAGGTCCTCTTTATGGAGACATCAGGGGTCTCCAAGACCCCTAATGTCACCTAGGACCCCCCAAAAGAAGCTGATGAAGCAGAGATCTGCTCCAGCAGCCTCTTTGCAGCTTCTGAAGCTGGAGAGTGACACAAGAATGCGGAAGTGATGTATTATACAACACTTCCGCATTCTTTCAGAGGGTGGAGGGGACCAGAGGGAGCTCGTGTACCGAGCTCCCTCTGATCCCATGTGACAGAGGCGACATGCATACGGTCCGGCAACCCCTCCTTTGAGGGACCTTCTAAATGATCCACTCCCTTTGGGTCAACTTTCATTAAGCAGCACTGGTTCTTAAAATTCTTAAACAACGCCACGATATCATCAGTCACCCAATTAAAGGATTTGAAGTGTTTCCCCAGGCTCTTGGACACTGGCAGTAAGCTGCTTCACTTTCAGTCTGAAGCTTCTGAACTGCAAAATATGCACACGCCCACTGCCCGTGTGGCTTCTTTACCCAACTCGAGTGGCCTTTTTTCCTGGTAGAGCCATCTGGTCCTCATTGTCCTCTGGAAGCCATTTTGTGCAATCCTGTATTTCGGTTGTTACTTCGTGCCCTGGTCATGATCTCTCAATGTATCCTACCAGTGCCAACCAATGCCAGGCGTGACAAAACAGGTGCAAAGGTCCATGGCCAAAAATCCAATTTTATTCCAAAAACATAACCGCAGTTGTGGTTAGCTCTATTCAACAGACAATCCACAAAATGTATTACTTGTTGGTGAAGTTCACATGCAGCATCTCAAAAATATCTCTTCCTTCGTATGTTCTCAAAAAACAACCGAACTGTCGCCCTCTAGTCATTTGCACTTCACAGGAAGACCCTTTGCGGGTAGAAAAGGAGTTTTTTTAAATGTTAGGTCAAAAGTACCATCATCACCCAGCCGTATACATTTAAATCACGACAGACACTTTACATCATTAAAATATTTGCAGAAACTCATTAACAAAAATAATGTATAAACAACACGCCCCAAAGACATCCTTATTCACCACTGTTGTGCACACCTGATGGAAGTGGTTTAGTAGAGGAGAAGGGCAATTTCCTAATGCATACCCTTTGCCTTCAAGTTAAATTTTCTTGTCCTATGGTGGACAAAATTAAAGCTACATCCGGCCTGTACTGCGGACACACATCAGCACTGGAGTCGACAGGAAGCTCCATCAATTCCCATGAAGTCTGCTACTTGGCAAAAGGGAGTAAAAGGGCATCACCACCTCCTAAATAACATCACCCATCTGGGCAACATGCAGCAGACCTGGGTCTGGCATCCCAGCAGTCCAAAGTCAGAAATGTCCCACCTGATTATGTCATTTCTACTAGTGCAATCACTGCTCCATCTCCTCCCAGGCCCTAAGCATAGAGAACAGTCATGTCAAACAGAGTTCTAGACATAGCATTTTCCCCCGTGGCAATGTGGCCTTGCAGGAAGGCTGTAGATGTGCTGGAGGAAGCCTAGCTTCTGGTCCAGCAGCCCTAGAACTAGCCAAGAAGTCCACCTAAAAACGGTTGGTGCCCTCAACCCAAAGGTTGCAGCCAAATTGTAACGGCCGCCGCCGTCATCTCTAGCAGGACATCGGGAGCCGCAGCAGTCGGCCTCTTGCGTTCCATGGTGGAGCGCACGCTCGTCACTTCCGGTTTCGGAGGCCGGGTGCATTCCACCTTGGAACGCGGAAGTGCGCCGATGCGTGCCGCGGCTCCTCCCCCTCTCCCTATTTAAACGCCCAGACGAGACAGCATGGCGTTCCACTATTGAGCCAGCAAAATTGTAGAAATGTCACCAGCACACCAGTCCTTTTAAGATAGCAAAAGCTTCATTTATTGAAGTTTTTTGTCATGTGACCAAACAAGCGCTTTCGGGACCGCGTAGGGTCCCTTCATCAGGCTTTAGCATTGGCTCCAGCCTGATGAAGGGACCCTACGCGGTCCCGAAAGCGCTTGTTTGGTCATATGACAAAAAACTTCAATAAATGAAGCTTTTGCTATCTTAAAAGGACTGGTGTGCTGGTGACATTTCTACAATTTTGCTGACATTCGCGGCGCCATCCGTGGTCACTGCGAGCACCCCCCACTACAAGGGACATATCGGTAAGGAGTGCAACAAGGATAGTACCTATTATCCACTATTGAGCCAGAACGCCTGCTGTCTCCTGGGACCCTCCAATCTTGTTGCCAGCAACTCTCCCTGGGACCATACAACCAAAGGGCCCCCAGCTCGTACCTCCCTGCAATACCAAAACCGCAAGTATCCAGTGCTGTTGCACTCTGTGTCATAAGACTATATGCTTTTCTGGACTTCACTCTGAAAGCTCATCAAAGTTGGGAGCATGAAATTGTCCAAAATGTCTTGGTGTGCTGATGCCTTAAGAGTTCCCTTCACTGGAACTAAGGGGCCAAGCCGAACCCCTGAACAACAACCCCTCCCCCCCTCCACCAAAATTTACACTTGGCGCAATGAAGTCAGGCAAGTACCGTTCTCCTGCCAACCGCCAAACCCAGACACGTCCATCGGATTGCCAGACAGAGAAGCGTGATTGGTCACTCCAGAGAACACGTCTCCACTTCTCTAGAGTTCAGTGGCGGCGTGCTTTACACCACGGCATCCCACGCTTTGCATTGCACTTGGTGATGTAAGGCGTGGCTGCAGCTTCTCGGCCACGAAAACCCATTCCATGAAGCTCTCTACGCACTGTTGTTGTGCAAATCTGAAGGCCACATGGAGTTTGGAGGTCTGTAGCTATTGACTCTGCAGACAGTTGGCGACTTCTGCACACTGTGCGCTTCAGCATGCGCTGACCCCGCTCTGTCATGTGACGTGGCCTACCACTTCGTGGCTGAGTTGCTGTTGTTCCCAGTTGCTTCCACTTTGTTATAATATCACTAACAGGTGACTGCGGAATATTTAGTAGCAAGGAGATTTCACAGAACACCGGAATCCAATGATTTGGAGGGACGCCCCAATACTTTTGGAAATATAGTGTACTAGTAATATAGGAAAACACCGCAATTTAACCTAGAGATCCAGAAAAATATTCTCAGTCTTATTCTGAAGGAGTCAGGAAAGACTGAGGAGGAGGCACTTGTTGGTATCATGACCCTGCGTGTGTACTAACACCATTTGCTTTTTTGAAACTGCATAACCTTGGTGATACTACACCTGTGTACCTGTATGTTGCTAAGTTGGCAGCAGTGGCTATGTCCCATGCTGATGATGCGGATGCTGGTGATGCACTGATTACAGTGTAGGCTTGGTGCCCTTGATGAGGGTAGTGGCAAGAACACAAGTCAGAATCCACCATGCAAAACGGCTTCAGCCATCACCACTAGAACCGGCGGTATAGAAGATCATGGGACCGTGGAGTAAGGTAAGGAGAACATCATCACTGTATTCAGCCGATTGCCATTGCAAAGTGCCTACTACTCAAAAGGATATCAACATTCACTGGGGAGATCCCATCTAAAAGCCTCCTCCGCAGCTCCTCCTGATCCTGTCCCCCAAGGACAGGAAATTAAAAAGAAAAAGGGAGGTGCATTCAAAAAATATATGCTCCTTGTTTCCTGGGCTTACCGTAGACAAGTACTGTAGACAAATTAACACCAATGCCTACGGTTGTTGAGTTCCGTCTCTGCAAATTGCCACCTTTTTTGCCGTAAAATGTACACGTTCTCTTGAAAATCTCTCTCACTGGGAAAGGAGCTTCTAATTGGTCCACAGTGCCAACCAATCCAAGGGCAACATTGGACAGCCGCACTCTACTTCCCTTAGATGGCATTCTGCAGTAAACTCCTGAAAGTATCTTCAAACACCAAAGGGCACTGCCACCTGCCAGGCTATATCAAGAGGATTAAGAGAATACCACCGGGCAACGACCTCTGCCGGGCACTGCCAAGAGGATTAACAGAACAGAAGACCATATGGCTCCAGGCTCAACCTAGAGAATAAGGAGAATACTGCATGACTCCATCTAGAGGATTAGAACACCATATAGCCCCCTGGCTCCACCTACAGTATTAGGAGTACACCATAAAGCACTGCCTAGAGCAGTGGTTGTCAACCTTCCTAGGGCTGGGACCCCTTGGTAACATTTGCCAAGTTGTTGTGACCTCCAACGGAGCGCTGGACTCCAGAATTAGTCAGGCGCTGGACTCCAGAATTAGTCAGGCGCTGGACTTGGGACTAAAAATAGAAGCACACTCCCAAGAATACAAGCCCTCCTCAGCCCCTGCTACCTGATCTGTCTCCATGCAGCCTTCTCAGCCCCAGCACTGCTTAGACGCCCGCCTCCTGCAGAGCTCACATTGTATGGGAGGCAGGAGGACAGCAGCGGCTGAGACTAGAACACCCTCTGCTAAAGGATTAGGAGAACACCATATAACACCTTACAGGTACCAAAAAACAGAATAAAGAAAGCACTATAGGGCATTGTTTCTACCAGGCTCCACCAAAAAAAGTCAGGACAAAACCACAGACCACTGTCCCATCAGGCTGTACCTAGAGGATTACGAGAACACCCGAGACTACTGACCAGGCTCAGCCTAAAGGACTATAAGAACACCATATGGCACCTCCTATAAGCAATACAAGTTAGGGCACCCCCAGGAAGATTACAACACCATAGGGCATCGCCCACCTGAAAGGCTCTGCTTAGAGGATTAGAGGGCATCACCCTTGGCAGGCGCCACCTAGTGGCTTAGAACACCATAGGGCATTGCCCTTTACAGGTGTCACTAATAGGAATGGACAACTATAGGAATGGACCACTATAGGCACTGCCCCCGGACAGGCTCCATCTGGAGGACTAGACCACCATTAGACATCATCCATTAACAGGCTATGCCTAGAGGAACGGACCACCATAGGACATTATTTATTGACAGGCTCCACCTTAGAGGATTAGCCCACCATAGGGCACTGCCCCTCGACAGACTCCATCTAGAGGATTAGACCACCATAGGGCATCCTACTCTGACTGGTTCCTCCTAAAAGATTAGGCCACCTTATGTAACAGGTGCACTCGATCACTCACCTGTTCCTCGTTCCAGGACTCCTCCCCCACTCCCTAGTTAAGGCTGAATGTTACACTTGCCTGACGTTCGAGCAAGTGTGAAGACGCCAGGCAAGTTCCTGTATCCCAGCACCGAACCTCTTCCTCTTATTGGGCCGGACAGAGCCCCTCCAAAACCACCAGCACATCCTGCTTTGACTTCCCTGCAATTCGGTCTCCACTACCTCCTTCATCCCCAGCTTCAGCAAGGACTATTACAATCTGGACTGCAGTTACTCTAAAGATCCACCGGAGGGCACCAACATTCTCCTTATCATTCCTATCAACTAAAATAGCAGTAAGCATACCACAGACTGTGATTTCCAAATGCTTGCATATTGATAGAACTGTGCATAGGGATAACTTGATTGCTCCCATTGATTGTTGTCATCCTTCACCCCACTAATCTAAAAGGACTGCTCCCTACAATAAAACCTCATCTATTTTTCATGCTAAGTAATTGTTGCCTAACTCATTACCATAAGACTGTAAATTCACTGTGGTGTAGGATTGCACCCCCTCCTCATACTTCTGCAGCTGTGATCCTCCACCTAAAATAAGACCTGTGGGGTCTGGTTGTTACACCTTAGGGCATTGATCCCAACAGACTCCATCTGGAGGATTAGACCACTATAGGGCATCCTACTCTGACTGGTTCCCCCTAGAGGATTAGGGCATCATAGGGCATCACCTCCTAACAGGCTTCACCTAGAGGATTTGACCTCCATAGGGCATCATTCTCTGACAGGCACCGCCTAGAGGATAAGACCACCATAGGGCATCACTCTCTGACAGGCACTGCCTAGAGGATAAGACCACCATAGGGCATCACTCTCTGACAGGCACTGCCTAGAGGATAAAGCCACCATAGGGCATCACTCTGACAGGCTCTGCCTAGATGATTACAGCACCATAGGGCATCGTTCCCTGACAGGCTCCACCTAGAGGAATAGCCCAACATAGGGCATCATTTCCTGACAGGCTCCGCCTAGAGGATTAGACCACCATATGGCATTGTCCCCTAACAGGCAATGCCTAGAGGATTAGACCACCATAGGGTATGGTTCCCTTACAGGCTCAACATAGAGGATTACACCACCGTAGGGCATCAATCCCCAACATACTCCATCGAGAAAATTAGATCCCGCTATAGCGCAGTGTTCCCTGACAGGCTTCGCCTAGAACATGACACCATAGTGCATCATCCCCTGGCAGGCTCCGCCTTGAAGATTACACCACCATAGGGCATTGTTCTCCTGACCGACTCTGCCTTAAAGATTACACCACCATAGGGCATTGTTCCCCTGACCGGCTCCGCCTTAAAGATTACACCACCATAGGGCATTGTTCCCCTGACCGGCTCCGCCTTAAAGATTACACCACCATAGGGCATTGTTCCCCTGACCGATTCCGTTTTGAAGATTACACCACCATAGGGAATTGCCCCGACAGGCTCCTCCTAGAAGATTACACCACCATCGGGAATTGCCCCCTGACAGGCTCCACATAGCAGATTACACCATCGTAGAGCATCAATCCCCGACACCGTCTAAAGGATTGGAAGAACACCATTGGCCATTGTACCCTTCCAGACTCCACCTACAGGATAAGACCTCCCCAGAGCGTCGCCCCCTTCTGGGCTCCACCTAGAACCTAAATATTTATTTCGGTAACATGGTTTGACCGCATACTTTTTGTTTTATGGCTCTGAGAACGCCACTTGTGGACATCCATGTTGTTGTACTTACCACTGGTTGGAAGGCGCGCTTTGTGTTGGGGTCACCACCAGATTCTGCAAGTTGGACATTGCTTGTCCTAAAGGTGCGCACCGTTATCAAAATCTCTCCGTTATCCTGCCGGGTAGTACACCAATCTACTGATCTGCAGATGATTATCTGCCAACTTCCTCCATCAAACAGGCTGGAAAAGTAGATGGAAACAGCCCACCAGACAATACCCTGTGAAATAAAATGGCGCCCCTATTGTTACCTCATACTTTCCCGCCCAATTCTTATACAAAATGGCGCCCCCCTATGGTTGCAGCACTTTCCCACCCACTTTGTATACAAAATGGCGCCCCCCTATGGTTACCTCACACTTTCCTGCCCACTTTGTATACAAATTGGCACCACCATATGTTTACCACACACTTTCCTGCCCAATTCTTATACAAATTGGCACCCCCCTATGGTTACTTCACACTTTCCACACCCAATTCTTATACAAAATGGTGCCCCCCTGTGGTGACCGCACACTTTCCTGCCCAATTCTTATACAAAATGGCGCCCCCCTGTGGTGACCTCACACTTTCCCGCCCAATTCTTATACAAAATGGCGCCCTCTAGGTGACCTATGCCTTCCTGAGGTATAATCCTGAATGCCTGGGCTTCCTCTCTCCTGTCCCCACCACGTCTAACATTTCCTCCCAGTCCAGCTCGGCGTCCACAAACAATACACAGGTGCCTTTTCCAGCGCTAGGTGGCGTCAGTCTCCTCCACACAGGATCGCTTCACTCACCGGAAGTGCGCACCTTACGAAGCTCAGCCTCCCGCCGTCTGATTCGCTCAGTTCCGAGAGCCGACGACCTCACGGCCAATAGGAACGTTCCCCGTAAGCGTATTTCCGCTTGACGTCACGTCCGCGGGGCGTGGAGAAGCGCGGCTTCCGGCTAGGAGGATTCTATCAGGTTTAGCAGAGCGGGGAGGAGTCAGGGGATGTGTCACGTGGTACACGAGAGGCGGGATACTAGAAGGGATGGACTGAACCATTGAGGTGAAGCTATGTAATGAGAGGGTA